TCCATTACTTGCTCACCAATGGATGCTCTGCAGTGAATGGGTGCCATCAGAATGAGAGTCCAAACAGCTGATAAAAACATCACAATAATCCACACCACTCCATCAATTAACATCTTGTGACGCAAAAAGCAGTGTGTGTTTATAAGAAACAAATCCATCAGGACGTTTTAACGCAAGTTAAAATCAGGACGTTTGAGCAAGTGATGCAATGCTACATTTCTCCAAATCTGTTCCCTTGAAGAAACAAATTCATCTACATCTTAGATGACCTGAGGATGAGTCAATGTTCAGCAAATTCACATTTTTAGGTGAACTATTCCTTTAAAATGTAGAGTAAACTGTAAGTGATCACTGGTAGATTTACTGAGTCAAGTCAAGTCAAGTTTATTTGTATAGCGCTTTTCACGATACAAATCATTGCAAAGCAACTTTACAGCAAATTAAGTTTCTACAATATTTAGTGGTAGCTTATAAGTGGTGACTGTCAGTTAATGTACATATGGCAGAAATGTACGGAAAAATCAATTTAAGACGTAATAAAACAGACAATGAACACTATTAACAGCAATTATTATATGATGCAATCAAACTTATAGCAAAATGTGGTAGTTCTGTATGTTGTTTCAGGGTTGGCATCATCTGAGGTCCTCTGAGGGGTTGGCATGAAGCATGAACACTATCCCCCAGTTTCACAGACAAGGCTTAAGCCTAGTCCTAGACTAAAATGTAAATCGGAGCCGTTTCAACTGAAAGAAACTTGCACTGACTGATCTTAAAACATGTCAGTGCCTTTGTTTTGTCTTAAGATGCTCACCAGTAATGCTTTTTTCTAAGGCATGTTTATAAAAAAATTACTTAAATGTCCGAATTAAACTATGGCCTAATCCTGGCTTAGTCTAAGCCCTGTCTATGAAACCGGGCCTATGACTACCATAACTTGATCTGCTTGGACATCATGGCCAGTTCGGCAACATGGAATCAACCAATAACTACAGTTATTTTTCACCAACCAGTGGCAGACAGGGGGAATCTTCTTTTTACAGGTTTGGTGCACACAAATGACACACCTTGAACGAAACCGAAATCAGTGTTTTGTAAAATGTAGTACCGTTTGCTGCTCCTTTCTCTTTCATATGTCTTTTTACGGACTCGACATATGTCTTCTTCCGTCTCTCCCACTCCTCTTCACAAAACACCACAGGTTTGCTGGTGGTCTTGTCTGGAACAACCACCTTGGACTTCACCTGCTCAGTGGGTAAAGTGACAGTTTAACAATGACACAGAAAAGTGGGAGCACACGTCTGATGAGCGACCAAATGCACAAGCTGAATGTGTAACATTAGGGCCAGATGCAGAAAACATGGAGAGAATCATGGAATCCAGTCATAAAAAGGTAATTTGCAGTATAACATATCATTTCACTTGATAAAAACAATCTGTCATTTGTCAAACACGTTAATATCTAAGAACAACTCTTTTTCTGTTGGTTTTTACAATTAAAAGTCACATATTTTACACTTTTCTGGAGTTTTATTTTAGGTTTTGATGTCCTTAAGAATATATATTTGCGGTATAAGTACCAAAGCAGTATAACAAATATAATTTCATTTGATAAAAACAATCTGTCATTTGTCAAACACGTTAATATCTAAGAACAACTCTTTTTCTGTTGGTTTTTACAATTAAAAGTCACATATTTTACACTTTTCTGGAGTTTTATTTTAGGTTTTGATGTCCTTAAGAATATATATTTGCGGTATAAGTGTGCATTTTACTGTGGACTGACTGTTTTGAAACCTATATGGTAGTTACATAGCACCTAGACCTCAGTTATCATGAAAAACGCCAGGAAATTTCAGTTTTGACAATATGGGACCTTTAACTGAGCAGTAAAACCTTTATGAGCACATCTTTATGAACTAAATACATTCACCAGAAGTAAAAAACTAAAGGTAGGCTAAACAAACTAAAATGTTAACTTGTTTCCAGGTTTTGGCCTACAAAAATACAGCACCTGCAGCACTCTCTCTCTAGCGGTTTAAAATTGGTCTGTTTCCCACATGAGGAAATCATATGGCTTTATAAGAATATAGAATATTTTTATTTAATTTCTTTTCACCATATTAGACCTTGAAAGATGTTGCCAATATGAATGATCATTGAAAAAGCTTCCAAGTGTCCTCCTTTTGAATTCCATCATGGACAAAACACCACTGAACATGTATAAAACAACATCAGGAAGAGTAAATAATGACAGAAACTAGTAAAAATGTCACTAGTACATAAAGGATGGAGCTCAAACCTGGACCTGAAGCGGCAGTGTGCTCTCAAAGCTCCCTGCGGTGGTTTCTTCATTTCCCAGAGTCACCTCAGGCTCTGCCTGTTGACTGACAGACACTCCTTTTTCCTCTTTCACTGGGACAACAGTTTCTGGGGGCGCGATGTGGGATTTTGATTCATGGATTGGGATGAGATCATGTGAGACCTCCTTGACTTCACCTTTCACAGGTCCCTGAGAGCCAACTAACGGAACAGAACTGCAAAAATCAAAGTTTAGAGACGTGCGCAATGATATTTCAGCCGCAGGAACCTCTCTGTCCCATTTTAGAACCAGTATCGGGGAGGGAAGGCTCTCCCGGTCTCGATCGATCTGGTTCGGTTTGTAATTGGACAGAGGGGTGGACACGACAGGGGTCACAGGCTGATTGACCTTTGACCGAGGCGGTGTGAGGTCTTTTGATATTATTAATGGCTGTATAGGTGTCGATCCCTGGACTCTGCTTAGAAAGTCCACAGAATAGTATCCCTCATCCGGGGAAGATGTTCTTGTGATGCATTGTCTTTTAAGGGGGGTCTCATAGGTCTCATCGAAACATGAATCTTCCAGCCATCTTTTACGTGCTCTGGCTTCTTTATTGGAAATGTGTACTTGAATGTTGTAAACTGGTCTGTTGGCATTGTACTGCTGCTTAGAGCTCACCATGTGTGAGTATACTGATAGTGGTTTTAAATGAAAAGATGAATCATCGGACATTGTTATTCAAACTGGAGTCAAGCAGGACTGGAAGAGGAAAAAGGAGTGTCTGGTCAGTTTTATCCAAGCAGGACACATTGAGGTCTTGGCCAAAGTGCATGAACCTGAGAAAGAATATTGTTTATCAGTATATTAGACAAATGTCCATTTTGATTGCAAATGGGGTCATTAATTAAAATTCACCGCCCAAAAACCAATTTGATGCATATTTAATCATTCCTTTTGATGGAAACAAAGAAATGAATCAGGTCAAACCGACGCTCATGTTATTGACGCTAGCCTGAACTAATTGGTTCAAGTAAATACTTGCACGAGTGACTCGCAAACAATCGATCGTCGTTTTTAAACAACATAAAAGTGGGTTTTGGTGAGATGTGTGACAACAAGCGCGTGCTATGAGTTTGTAAACCCCGTCAAATGCACCATTTTCTAAATTGACAACTATGGTAATGGAATAATTAACGTTAAATGTGGATTACAACTTTGAAAATTTACCTGTCGATTACAATAAGAGGTTCCGTTTCGAAGTGCTACTTAGTCTTCCATAAACTTCAGTTTTTCACATCCATCCTCGAATTTGATAGTGTGGATTACACCTGATATCTATAACTTCTCAACCACACTTCGTCTTCTGATTGGCTGGAAACCAGAACATGTGATTTTTAAAAAATAAAACTTTAATTTTATTCACATGATTTAAAATAGTTTTAAAAAATGGCCAAGGGAAGATAACTGACCGTATAATATAAAAATATAGGTAATATCGGTATTTTTGAATCCTGCTGGTGAAAACGTGCCTCATGAATATTAATTACGTAATGCGAAGGTCTGTCAGTTCTCCCAACTGATTGGCTCGAAGGCAGACGTTCGTAAATTGGTCGCTTAACGAGAATTAAAGGTGTTTTTTGTCATTTTTTGACGTTAAAATGCGGGCTATCCCATGTGCAGAGACGACTACGACTAAAATTATATATAAAAGGAGTTACGTGAAACTATACCCTCCCCAGCAAATACACTAACGCAGTAATATCAAACGACTATCGTAGGTCTATTATGACCAGCGCCGGAAAAACAAGAAAAGTACTGAAAAAGTAACCCGTTACCTAAAAAGTAACTGTTACATGGCACGTATTATTATGAATATTAATAAATGACTCGTGAAATCTACGTGACAGTGCTGCCTATTCATTAACACCTGAATAATAACTTGTATAGCCACTGAAATGAAACCACACAAAGAAAATTAAAATATAAAAAAATATTATTTGGACTCAAATTCCAGTACTAACCTTATTTTCGTCACAGAGCAAATTACCATAATCATTATGGCACTGCAATAGTTTCACAACTAGAGGGAGTCATGTCAACTCAAAACAGTAAAAAAAACAAAGCATTTTCATTACAGTTTTAATTTATGAACATGAAATGAATAATGTAAACAAAAACTAACACTGAGGTGTTATAAATTCTACTCATGACGTGTAATAAAACCACAGTGGTAAATATCAGTTCATTGCTTGCTTATGATGATGATTATCATATATATATATATATATATATATATATATATATATATAGTGTGACAAATATGCAAAAAATAAAAAAAACCAGGAAGGGGGCCAACACTTTTTCACACCACTGTATATCTATACTACACTTAAAGTCAACCTGAAATTAATTCAGATATATTTTTGGGCAAAGGAATACATGTAACATTACAAAATAGATTGGCATTTCCATAAAAACATACCACGGACATCCATGGTAATACAATATATTTGCTTTTTAAACACTTACATATAGTAGTACCATGATACCATGAAGTCCCTAATACCATCTGATACTGTGACATCCATGCTTTATTGGATGAGTATGGTAACCTGTTGAAGAATGAACAATAAGCATGGCATAAGCAGAAAGATCCTGAAATGAAACCATAAGCTTTAGAAAGAGACACAGAGAGAAGTGCAAAAATACATTTTAATAGAAAAAAAAATAAGATTGTCTTATTTAAATACCCTGCCTTCTCTTTTTTTGTCCATTATTGTATGCTTCATGTCTGCTTATCCATTCGTTTTCATACATCGGAGGGCAGACAACTCACATATACAACACCTTCACCACTTCAGCGCTTAAAAAACACACTCCAACTCCACACAAACTTCAAACATCATGTAATTTAGTAAGCATTACCCCGAGACTATATATTCAGAAATTTGACTGCATAGAATTGCAAAGCTAGCCTCAGCAATTAAACCCATTAATAATAATAATAATAATAATAATAACTGAGCAAATATTATACAGTTATTGTTGTACACGTACATTTTATATTCATACAAATACAAAAAAAAAGCAACTTATGGGAAGTAACAAAAAACTTTAAATGTCAATATACTTAAACGTAATTCGGGGGGGATAATAAAAAGGAAAAAAAAAGTATTGCTTTGGTCTGTGCTTTTGTTGAAGTCATCTCGTTGGGTTTGCCGAACCGCATGTCAACTCAAAGCCGGCCGAGGCATCAGCTACAGCCGCCAGAGGGCGCCGCTGAGATTCCCTTCAGTGTCGTCTGATCAGATCGTTCCTCCGCGAACCGCCGATCAGAATCCGAACGCGTCCTCGGCGTCGGTAGCCTCAGCATCGGCTTTGTCCCAGTTGCTAGGCGACAAGCACTCTTCAGGGTTGTAGTCCTGAGGGTTTACCCCAATGTCCAGCATCTGGGGGTTAGTGCGAGACTCAGCGAGTCTTGGGAGAAACACACACAGAGAGAATGAGTTAAACCGAAGCATCTTCAGCAAACATCTTCACAACATCAGTAGCGGTTCAGATCATATAGAGAGCAGGGAATACTGTACATATGCAAAACACCAGAAACAACACTTTAAATATGCATGGTAAACTTCTCGCTGATCTGGAGCTCTTCGTTACATTTGAATGAAATGATAAAATAATTGTTTATTTGTACTATAATGAACAAGATTGTATGAATGGACAGCGCTCATCTAGGATAATATAAACATCATATATATATATTATATATATATACATATATATATATACACATATATATATATATATATATATATATATATATATACATATATATATATATACATGAACTTTTCCACGACATTCTAATTTATTGAGATGCACCTGTATATAAAAACGCATTTATACATTCAATCTAATGTTTATATACACACTTAAAAGAATTTTAAAAAATCTTAAATAAAATTAAAAAAATATATATATATATATATAAATGAGAAAATATAAAATTAATAGCTCAATTAATAATTCAGAACATTATGAAATAGTATAATAGCATTATGAATAATAGCAAAATAACATACAAATGGTGTGTGCATAAATGCTTCATATGTAGGATTGGGAATCACGAAGAGGTTATTTTTGTTATTTAATTATTATAAATTTAATATGATGAGAAATAAAGGCTGGACACTGTGAAATAATACAAAGAAAACAAAGAAGACAGTATGTCTTTCTGCATTGCACATACAGAGTGATCAGTCTGATTCTTTTTAATGAATCTTTCAAAAAGAATCAAACCTCATTGCTGTTTTGAGTCATCAGTTTAAATTAGTCTAATGCTGACAACTTGTGGTTAAAGATTCACACATTCAGAACAGAGTTTTGTTAGTTCTTCAATATTTATACCATAATTATTCTTTTAGAACAGCAGCTTCCTCTCAAAGAGAAACGTTAACTGAATCATACAGTGGAACTGGAATTGTTACATTCCCCATGATTCCCATTCCAACACAGAAGACTATAAGCTGCACAAAATATGCATGAACCAGTGAGTAGTGTTCTAGGGTAGTACTCTTTACCCTAAATATAGAGACACAGCTCTGTGGTTGAACATGATGTGAAATCAAACCTCTGAGGAGCTGGAATGAAAAGTGTGCTGTGGAAAATAACAAAAACCAGGAACATATCTGGGAAGATCTACGGTAACACTGCCACACAGCCTCAATGCACTTTAGTCACGGTAGACGCCATATGTTTCTGAAAAAAAGAGCTGCATTTATTTGATCAAAAGTACAGTAAAAACAGTAATATTTTGAAATATTATTACAATTTAGGCTGTTTTCTAGTTAAAAATGTAATTTATTCCTGTGATGTAAAGCTGAATTTTCAGCATCATTACTCCAGTGTCACATGATTCTTCAGAAATCATTCTAATATGCTGATTTGCTGCTCAAGAAACATTTATCATCAACATTGAAAACAGTTGTGCAGCTTCACATTTTTGTGTAAGCCATTTTTTGCAGCATCCTTCACAAATAAAAAGTTCAAAATAACAGCATATAAATCTTTTGTAACATTATAAATGTCTTTACCGTTACTTCTGATCAATTTAATGCATCCTTTCTAAACAAAAGTAATAATTACTGTAAAAAAAAAAATTTTTTTCAAAACCTCAAACTTTTGAAAGATAGTGTAAGTCGTGTTGAAAAGGTGATAAATAGTGACAGTAAGTTGATGGTAGCCATAGACTTCCATAATATTTTTTTCTATAGTATGGAAGTCAATGGCTACTGTTAAGTGTTTGGTTTCAACATTCTTCAAAATATTTTCTTTTGTGCTCAACAGAAGAAAGAAACTCATACAGGTTTGGAACAACTTGAGGGTGAGTATGACAGAATTTACATTTTTGGTTGAACTATCCCTTTAAATACAGCGTCTACCCAGAACAAGGTTCATAGTAACAGACTTTGTGGCAAGGCAATGGCGGGAAACCGACAACTGATCACAAGAAAAACTAGGAATATATGAAGATGAATCCAAGTGATGTTTCTACAACTCTTGGCAAAGAACCCTGCCATGAAGTCCTCAAAATGGAACAGGTGTGAGAAGTGGACAGGGTTTTGAGCCGTGAGGAGGAACATGCGTGAGCTGCTACAGATGGAGAACTGGACTACAGTCGTAGATGATCATGGTGTTGTGACGGAGTGAATTATGACGGATGAGGACTATAGCACAGGCACATGTCACTACAGCTCAGGTGAACAACATTTTTACCTGTGTTGGACTCAAAACTATCCAGACTGCGGCTGAAGGAAGTAAACAATATCAGCATGAGAAAACAGAAGCAGCAAACGGCTGCATCTTTAGTCAGCATGTCTTGATTAGCTGTTGCAATAATAGAACTTCCACATTGTGATATTTTTATCAGCTTTTTAAAAATGTCCTGATGGGGTTTATTGAGCAGCCAGTGAAGTCAAAGGTTACCGCTGGGCTAATGTTGAGGAAATGAGGTCAGAGTTACAGCTAACTAAAGTTGACCTCTTGACCGTAAAGACTAAACCACTGTAAGATCCATTTCTTTGTAAGACTAAAGGCATTAAGAATTATTAGTGTTGTTTGCTAAGGTAAGCATGAATACTACACACTTTAAAGATCTGAACAAATTCCCAAGTATTAAACTTTGACAAACTTAAACAACCAGTGTTGTTATTGGTAACTAAAACTGCAACTATTAAATAAAAAAATAAAATAAATAAATATTAGATGAAAAACCTAAACTTAAATGAAGACGAGAAATGTTGGCTTGGCAACTAATTAAATACATTTTAGTTCATTTAAAAAAATGGTGTAAGATTTACATAGGAAAATTTCACTTAGAAATTGCTAGTAAATTTGACAAGTAACTACAAAGAAATGGCAACTAACACATCAAATTGAATGTGAAATTTTAAGTAGAAAGACTTACAATTAATTTTTGCAGTGTTGCCAAGTATTAAAATTACTAAAAAAAATACAATAAATAAATATAAAATAAAAAACAAAAAAAGAAAGCCAAACAGAAATTATTTTTAAAAAACTGACAAAAGTGCAAAATTACAAAACAAACTAAAATAAAAATAACTGAAAATATAAGAATTAAAGTGAATTCAAAATATTAATAAATACTATAAATAGTACAAAAATAATACTGCATATAACTTAACCACTTGTGCTTATGAACACACAGTAAATGACACTTACTTGCAATGCAAAAAAAAACAAAACAGTAAGAGCAGCAGGATACAGTATGTTTTCTTTTTTGAATACATATAGTAACTAAATAACTATATATACTCTGAAAATAATGTACAATTTAAAGGATCTTTTTTTTATATTGAGTCAAGAGGTCAATCTGACATTTAGATCTTCTACTGGATAAACTTGAAGTTCGGTGCAACCAGCCATTTCATTTTATTTGTGCATCCGTCTCACAATAATGTACAGAAATGGTCAATTATGACCATAATATCTCTCAACCCACTGTGTTTTTGAGGATAAACCATCTCAAATGCTAAACAGCTTCAGTTTGTGATGGAAAGCTCTTCAATGGTCTTTAATCAGAGATTTACTCAATCCCAATTCATCCTTGATTGGAAAAGTTCTTGCATGTCAGAGATCTAGAGCGTCTCTCCTCACACTTACAAGGTGAAAGCATGTTAAATGGAGATTAACGAAGTACTGCGTTTGATTAAAAGCCAACGCTTTTAATTACTGCACACGACAAATAATCCGCGTGAAGCGGAGATGGACTGAACCCCCGCTGCTGTAAAACAGCTCATCTCATGTCTGCTAATCTCTCGGGAACGGCACTCCGTGTGTCTGGATGAATAATGACCATCATTACAAATCGTTAAACAGCTGTTGTTTGGTTTGCAGAATAAATCGGCTGTTAATTAGTGCCATTACGATGTCATAGTATGCAAATAATAGTCATTTAAAACATGACCTAATCATTTGGCATCACAATTGTTTGATTTTTGGGTGTATAGGCAACCAGGAACGTGCATACTGTATTATCCCAATAAAAATATTATCTTAAAGAGCTCATATTATGAGGGGTCCAATTTTCTTTAATATTTTTAAATTAATGCTAAAGTGTGTAATTTTCAAATGTTAAAATATATTGTCTTAATGTGTAGAGACAAACGACTTGTATTCTATGGTGTTATCAAAGCATATGTCAATTTCAAAGGTCCATAAAATATTATTGGTATATTGAAAATTGTTTAAACTTTGGGTGTTGTTAGAGGCCTAGACTGTATATCATTTGAAATTATCATATTTAATGCACCCTTAAACATGGCTGAGAAAGCCCACCCTGAACTGGGCAGAAGGTGCAATATGACGTCTCATTCTATATAGAGCCATATGTAAAATTCAATGGTCCATAAAAAAGATTGGTAAAGTAAAAAAAAATGTTTTAACTTTGGATATTGTTAGCGCATTAGACCATTTATCAAGTCTCATTGTAAGATCTAATGCAGCCTTGAAAGTAGCAGAGAAACACCGCTACAAATTTGGCAGAGGGTGCAATATGACGGCTCATTTTGTACTGTCTCATATGAAACTTTCAAGGGTTCATAAAAAAAGATTGATACATTAAAAAAATTTACAAATTTGGATTTCTTAACAGTCTGAGACTGTTTATCACTGTTAACTGTCAAATTTCAAGCAACATTGAAGATGGCTGAGAAATGCCTGCCCGAATTGGGTAGAGGGTGCAATAAAATATCTCATTCTGCATTATCCCGATGTCAAGTTCAAGGGTTCATAAATAAAGATTGATACAGTAAAAATGTTCTAACTTTGGAATTTGATAGAGCCTTGGGTTATTTATCACACCACATTGTCAGATCTAATGCAGTCTTGAAATCGGCAGAGAAACACTGTTACAAATTAGGCAGAGGGTGCAGTATGATGGCTCATTCTGTATTGTGCCATATGTAAAGTTTAAGGGTCCATAAAAAAAAGACTGATACAGTAAAAAATGTTCAAAATTCAGATTTCTTTACAGTCTTAGACTGTCTTTCATTGTTAATTGTCAAATTTGATGAAGCTTTCAATACGGCTGAGGAAGGCCTCCCCAAATTGGGCCGAAGGTGCAAAATAGTATCTCATTCTGCATTATCCCTGGCAAGGTTAGATGTCTATAAATAAACATTGGTAAATTAAAAAAAATAAATCACAAATTGGATTGCATTACAGTCGTAGACTGTTTATCATTCTTAATTCTCAAATTTGATGCAATCTTGAAAGGTTGAGAAAGGCCTCCCTGAATTAGGCAGCGGGTGCAATATGGTATCTCATTCTGCATTATCTTACATCAAGGTCAAGGGTCCAGAAAGAAAGATTGATACAGCATCTTGCAAATAACCTCAGCAAAGTGCTGTTGTTAATTTCTCGCCCACAATTTCTGAAACTCAAGCCTTTAAATGTGGCATTTTAGTTTTCAGGAGCAGCACTTTGACCGCATTCAGACATCAACCAGTGAAAGCCTGTTAGGAAAGTTTGACAAATTGTTACACAGATTTCTCGGTCTACTCCAGATGTCTTTTTTTTTTCTATGAAACAGAAACTGTGAGTGGGGTGCAAAAATAGTCCGAATTATGTAAAACCAACCAAAGAGTTTATTCTCAGAACCAAATATGTCCATCACAAATACCGCTGTGGTCACATAATAGAGCGTCAGGAATAGTCGTGCCCTATACTCCACATCTGCGCTGAAGTTATAGTATGACCTGTTAAAGTTCACTGCGCAGGGTGTTATAGTGCAAAAGCACCAGATATAACTCCAAATATAATTTTACTAACCTTGAGAAAGCCTCATCTAGACCATCCTCAAGTTCCTGCAAAAGACACCGCAGAGATTACAGTAAGTTAAAAGAAGCATCTTCATTTGGAGTCCATAGGGTTCTCAGCAGTAACTAATGTGCTTTTAAACTCTTATTTAAAAGTTACATTTTAATGTAAAATAATTTTAAAATAAAAATGTAAAACATTGCATGTAGACTGAGTTAAATAAACATTGCTGTCATTTTAACAATTAAAATAAAAATAAGACTAGTGAGTGGTTTTCTCAGAATTGCTGACATAAACAGCATTAAAATAATTTCAATTAACTCTGATTAGTATTAAGTAATTATTCAAATAAACTGGTGGAGTACTTTGACTTTAGATATTTTAGTACATGTCTAAAGCATTTGTGTGTGTGTGTGAGAAAATTTATAAATCCATCCACCAACTATGATCAAAAGCAGGCGTCATATTCTTTATCCAAATTACATTTTCCGTCTTTTGATGTTAAGTGGAAAAAAGGTGTGATTTTATTTGAAAATCCATGAAACAGCTAGTTCTGTTCTGATTCCCAATTCTGATTGGATGAGCCACGTTTTAAGCGGTTGACAAATTACTCTGTTTCTTGGAAACCATAACCAGCAGTTAGGCTAATGAACTATATAACATGGCAGATTTATTTATAAATTTACATTACACTTATTTCAGGTTCAGGCCTCCTGGATCAACATGAGGCGATCACAGACACAATGGTTATAGTTCATAAATCAACCTTTAAACAGAATATTTTCATATCTCCACACTTGCAGTGATCATACAGATCCGTGCATGTAGGGAATGAATCAAGCCGCGACACGCTCACAGACTCCAGTCAAACAAAAGCACCATCACATCTTTCTCTGATCCTGGGCCGTTAAACCTGTCCATCTCTGTCCTGGACTCATATTTCACGAGCTGAGATCAGCCGCTAAAAAGACTCATGTTTCTGATATCTGATGGGATTTAGGAACACACAGAGCTTTATTCATGCACACACACGTCTGACACACGGATCACTGGTCCTCAAGGGTTAATTCGTTCACTAAACTCTGCCGTACAGGTTTATTTCTGTAACTTGAGATCCATTCAGGGTCCTGTGGCACACTTACAAAAAAGTAGCATGGTCCAGTGACGGTATCAGATGATAATACCTGGGTCTTTAAGTGGTACTTGTAAGGTACTTTGAAGCATACCACGGTATTATCATTGCCATTGCTGGATGGATCAAAGAAGATTAGGCATGCTGTGACCAAAAAAACCATGCAAACTTAAATAGTGCCTGGAAGCAACAAAGAATCTTAAAACTGACATCATTTTTTGTGTTTTTCGTATCTCATCAATACACTTATAAGTCAAAAGTTCGGGTCAGCAAGACTTTTTTTCTCTCTCTTATGTGCACCAAGGCTGCATTTATTAATCAAAAATGCAGTAAAAATTGTAATATATTATTAAGATTTAAAATAACTGTCTTCTATTTGAATGCATTTTAAAATTTAATTTATGTCTGCGATGCAAAGCTGAATTTTCAGCATCATTACTCCAGTCTTCAGTTTTATATGATGGTCAGAAATCATTCTAATATTCTGATCTGCTGCTCAAGAAACATGCATGATTGTTATCAATGTTGAAAACAGCTGTGCTGCTTCATATTTTTGTGAAAGCCATAATACTTTTTTTAGGATTCTTTGATTAACAATGTTCAAAAGAACAGTATTTGTTTAAAATCGAAATCTTTTGTAACATTATAAATGTCTTCACTGTCACTTTGATCAATTTAATGCATCCTTGCTGAATAAAAGTATTGCTTTCTATCAAAAAAATAATACATTTTACTGTCCCAAACCTATCAAGAATACCCTTGTATTATCATGTCTCCAGCAACTAATTTGTCTATCCACACTGAAACCAAAAATACTGTGTGACAGAACACAACCACATCCAATAAGAACATGTTTGATATTTAATATACAATTGTGTGGAGTGGGATGTTGTGTGTGTGTGTGTGTGTGTGTGTGTGTGTGTGTGTGTGTGGTTCAGGAAAAACCTACTTTGAAGAAACCAAATGTCCACACAAGGATTGTAATAGCTGAAATTTTTTGAAACATTTTAGGCCTCCATGAGGAAAGCAGCTAATAAATCATCATTTTTTTTCCCTGAAAATGTAAAAGTGCAGAAAGTCTTCTGTGATGGTTAGGTTTAGGATCAAACATATTGCACAGTATAAAAATCATTATGTCTACAGAAAGTCCCGACAAAGCATAAAAACGTGTGTTCACCTCCTCCTTTTGTGCTGCCCAGACTGGCTGAACTCTCAGACTGAGAGCTGCTGGCCGCCTCTCCATCAGATCCACACTTCACCTGCTTCTCTTTCTCTGAAAACAAAGGTTTAAAAGCAGAAATATAAAGCTTCTATTGTTGTTAGCATGCTTACATTAAACAGTCACTAAAAACATGTTCTTTATTTGAGCTGTGAAGTTTAAAACCTCTCTCAGTCTAATCATTCCTTCATCATTCTTTTTGAGGTGGGAATACTTTTCTTATTTGAAAGTGTATAATTTCTTCTTTTTTTTCTTCTTTTTTTTTGAGCAAAATACTCATGATTACCACTTTAATCATAAAAAAACTAACAAATTAAATTAATTATATATTTGTTTTTTTTTTATGTACTTTTTTCAACATTTTAGGTTAAAATATACATGGAAGTAAATAAATCACCACTTTTTAAAAATCGTTTTATTACTTTTTACTCAACAATTTAAAACCAACAAGAATAAAATAGAGAACAAAATGTCATTTTCATCATCTTTGACATCCTTATTGGTCACTGATCTCTAAACAAATATTATATATTATCACACATCATATTCATCTCAAAACTTTAATTCATATTCTTTTATATATATTCTTATTTTTAAATACGCATTCATGAAAGTCTTTATAAAGATTGAGGTCAGTGAGTATAAATGTGCACCAGGGCAAGGAGAAACCAGCCATAAATGTACATTTGAAAATTTAACACATGTAGCATAAAACAGTGCCGTGGCTTTGATCTCTGCCTGAATTAATAAAAATGGAAATGAAACACCCTAAAGCATTATCAAAGCCCTGAACGCTCAAACAGCCTCCTTCATGAGGAAGTGGATATATACCGCACTCACATACTGCCTAGCACTCTATGACTAAAGAGGGAAGTTAGGAGGGTGGTGAAGTGCTCAGATCTGGTTCCTGCAGGATCATAATGGTGTTTCTGGTTCTTCTCTTTGTGGTTACCACAGTGAACCATTAACAATAAATGTGTTTAAAGAAACAGTTCTCACAAAAATTAAATTTGATAAATATTTACAGTTTGTTTCTTCATGGGAACAGATCTGGAAATATTTAGCATTACATCACTTGCCCACCAGTGGATCCTCTGCAGTGAATGGGTGCCGTCAGAATGAGAGTCCAAACAGCTGATAAAAACATCACAATAATCCACAAGTAATTGACACATGCCTCCAGTGCATCAGCTAATGTCTAGTGAAGTGAAAAGTTGTGTTTGTAAGTAGGGCTGTCGCGATTCGTCGATTTTATTCGACTATTCGATTTTTTTAAATCCTCGACTTAATTTTGCTCGCGTCGACTAACCGGCAAAATACCGGAAGTGGCGCATTTCACGGACGAGAATCCATAAAACAGATTATTAGACTGTTTCCCAAGGCTGCATGATATATTAAACCCATTTAAAAATCATAATTAAGCATAATTGTGAATTCACAAACGCTACGATTTAATTAAATAATTATATGCGATGCAGTTCTAATACAGTATATGTGCTTTAATTATTTACATGCGTGTAGGTTAAGTACATGCGTCACACAGCGGCTCCGTTCACAGTAGTTCCACAGGAACTGTTATCATTTACATGTGTGGAGCATCTCAAACTCCATCTCTGCATGTTGTTGTGAGTTTGGATTTATTATAACGTTCATCTGGGAACGCAACGTGCGCCATTTCATCAGATTTATTCTATTTTAATGGTTCCATTAAATTTTAATAATCAAAAGTATCTCCAATTAATTGATTTTATTAAAAAAAAAAAAATTCTTTTTTAATTTTCAGAAATACATTTTTCTCCTAAATAAATTCTGGTAAATACTCCTTTAAAAAGTGTTTTTTGATTATAACTGTATTATTAGTAAGACTAGAACACGTGGATATGTTGTCATTCTTACACTATAATACTGAACTTTGATTTCAGTGATTTGGACTATGAGATGGACACTTGCTTCTTGCACTCTATGTTGCACTTTACTTTTGCTTTAAAAAAAAGATTTCACAGAAATTTGGATTTCATCTGGTTTAATAAAATATAGTTTCATAAAATATTCTTAAGTAAAATAGTTGATTTTTTGGTGGGAAATTAATCGTTTAGATTAATCGACAAGTTAGTCGATAGATTAATCGAAATGAAAATAGTCGTTAGTGGCGGCCCATTTGTAAGAAACATTTTTGTTCATTCTCAACTATTTCTTTATTTCACAATGGAAATATAACTGTGTGTCATTTGTTTATATTTTAGACCCTGCAGTAAAACACAATAAAATGGAGAGAAGAGTCTGAGTTCTGCCAGATGATCAGTTCCTGCAGAATCCGCCAGGTGCAGAGAGATGAAATGAGTAAAGCTCTACAGGCCTCAGGACACACACACACACACACACACACAGGCATGTTCAAACATGCAGTAAATTACATATATGTTCTGCTGATCTAAACGACTGGAGCTGCTCTACTTTCCCTGCTCTAAAATCTCTTTCTTGTCCTCCACACCTTCATGAAATAAAGAAAATATATAGTCCCTTAAAAATTAATTGGTCTACAAGACAATGCCTTTTTAAAGTCATAAATACAGTGACAGGCTTGGGCAATATATATATATATATATATATATATTCAAAATTCCAAAAGTCCAAAAAATACTTGATCTAAAATTAAAAAGCTTTAAAAGAGTGTTTTTTTGTTGTTGTTGCCAATTAAATTCAAAATTGATAATGCAAGAAGTAAACATAGTAAAAATCTAGTTCAAAAAAGGTGTGTTTTCCACATTTTTCCACTTAAATATTTAATATTAATACATTATATTTATTATGTATATACAATAAATGTATATGCATAAATATAGCAATACAGAAACAATACTAAATCATTTTAAAATGCCTTTTGTTTTTGTTTTTTAAATGACATAATTGACTTTTTTCTATGTATATTGTGGGTTAAATATATATGAATGCAAATGGTCCAGGGTTATTATAGTTAACTAAATTTTTTTTTTACTTGATATAAACTTTAACTGAAACAAAATAAACCATAAAAAACAAAACTTATTTTATTTCAGTTAGTTGCAATGATTCTTATTTTTATTTAGTTTTATTTAGTTAACTCTCATTTCTATGTACAAAAACTAAAACTAAAATTACATGAAAAAGTACATAGACATATTACAAAACTAATTCAAAAAATTCAATAGAGTAAGTTTGGGGCGGGGCTACTAGTATAAACAACCTGTTTGAAAGCAGTCATTATTTTTGGACTTGTGTTTGGTGTTGCTAGTGGTGTGGAAATTACACACTCCAGCTTTAAGTAGGACATGTGTGAATTTGTGCTTCTCAGCATAACAAAGACAGCAAGAATCGGAAGAAAGATAAACAAGAGATACCTTCTTTAGCAGCCTGCCAAAACTCAAATGCCACACGGAAAGCTTGAGCCACCGTTAACGTCACCGCCTGAGCCTGAGACAGATGGGGAAAAGGGAAGAGACGTGTCAACGCCACATTTCTTGTCATGGATAGAAAGACAGTGCACTGGTTTCTCTCTCTGAGGAAGTGTGGTCTTAACGTATAACACTATTTATACACTGAAGGAAAGACAGGGAGTGTCTCATATGAACACACACTCACCACTTTCCTCTTGGTGCAGAGGTACGCGTGACACTCCAGTGTTTCGTTGCGCTGACTCTGAGCGATGTAGGCAAACACTTTATCATGCATCTTATCAGCCGTGCAGTATGATATCCTAAAGACAACAAACAACATATGAGCAGTCAATCTAAAGAAGACAACCTATGTAAAAGTACAGTAAATAGTTCCTGCATAATATACTTTCTTAGACTACCATTCAAAAGTTTTGGAGTCAATACAATTAAAAAAAAAAAGAAATGAATACTTTTATTCCACAAAGATGCATTTAACTGCTAAAAACAATTGATAATGCTACAAAAGACCATATTTCAAATAAATGCTGCTCTTTGGGACTTTATATTCATCTAAGTATCCTGGAAAAAAAATGTACCATGGTTTCCACAAAAATATGAAGCACCACAACTGTTTTCAACATTGCTAATAATAAGAAATGTTTCTTGAGCAGCAAATCAGCATATTAGAATGATTTATGAAGGATCATGTGACATTGAAGACTGCAGTAATGATGCTGGAAATTCAGTTTTTCATCACAGAAACAAATTCCATTTTAAAATATATTAAAATAATACATTTTAAATATAGAAAAGAATGTTAAAATAGAAATCCATTAAATTGTTATAATATTTCACAATATTTCTTTACCATATTTCAAATAAATGCAGCCTTGGTGAGCAATCAAAAACATTTGTAAAAATTCTTAAAAAAAAATGTAAAATTAAAAAATGCCATCCCAAAACTTTCTGAACTTTTGAAACTTTTTAGGATACATAAGTTGTTTCAAATATTTGAGACCCCTACTGAAGATGCCATTTTTCATTACAAATGTTATTAGCATAATGAGTTAAAAGTTTTCTTTTTTTTTCCTTTAATGACAGCAGCACATGATCAAAACCTGCTGATCATGTTCTCCACCATGATCTAAGATGTTTCAAAGAGCACCTTGAGCTTCATCAGAAGCATGAGCTGTAAGTGAAATCGTTCACATGATCAATAACACATACAGTGCCTTGCGAAAGTATTCATACCCCTTCATTTTTTTCACGTTTTATGTTGCTGCCTCATGTTAAACTGCTTAAATGTACTTTTTTTTCCCACATCAATCTACACTCCATACACCATATTGACAAAGCAAAAACAGAATTGTCACAACTTCGTAAATTAATTAAAAATAAAAAAACTATGATCATGGAGCTCAACTAGAGTGACCATCAGGTTCTTGTTCATCACTCTAACCAAAGCCCTTCTCCATCAGTTGCTCAGTTAGGCAAGGAGGCCAGCTCTAGGAAGAGTCCTGGTTGTTTCAAACATCTTCCATTAAGGGCAAAATGAAGGGGTATGAATACTTTCGCAAGGCACTGTATTACCTTTCATTTGGTCAGTGATCTAAATCCTAAAACTTTCTGTTTATCTCCTCCAGTTTAAATTAATCTAGGGGAAATCATTCCATATATTATATATTTTATATATATATATATTTATTTCGGATACGATTAATCACAATTAATCGTTTGACAGCACTAATATATATTTAATTATTGTTATACACACACATAGCACCAGTTTTCTACATTGATAATACGAAGAAATGTTTCTGAATTTTAAGTATTTTGCATCACAGAAATAAATTACATAATTACATTTTAAAATATTTAAAAATATAAGAGTTATTTTAAATTGCAGTAATATTTCACAGTATATATATATATATATATATATATATACACACACACACACTGTGAAATATTACTGTGAAATAGGATCAGAACATATATATATATATATATATACACATGCTCTGGTCCTGTGTGTGAGACAGAGAAAGGTTTTGTAAGTGTCTCTAAGTACAGTATGTGTGTGAATTTTTAAATGTGAAACAGGACAGATGGCGGTCGTCCGTCATTAGTCCCGCCCCTGCTGCTGTGGGGCCGCCCTGTGACAGGCTGAGCCAGCTCTTACTCAGGGCCGAGGGGAGAAATCAGCACTGGAGGAGTTCATGAGTTTACTGCACATTACAAAGAGATGTCAACAGGAAACCAGAGACGATGCAGTCACAGACCAACTATCCCGTGTGTGTGGGTGTGTGTTATGGTTTGGTGGGTCAGCTTTCTGTCAAAGTGCTGATGGAGTGTTGAACACAGAGAGCTCAGCACTGCTTGTACACATTTTTAAATCTCAGAGGAGGTGACGTGATGGTCTGCTATATACAAGTGTCTGTGCAAGTCATTACACTCATTACATTAGAATTTAAGAGCGAATGTGCATATTTGTCATGAAAATAATGTCACAATGCAAACCATCTTAATGGATCTACATGTAGGCTTCATTTTCGTTTCTTCATTTTCAGAACATAATTTTAGATTTTAGGGTGAATTGAAACCTGGACATGTTTTCATGAAAATTAGCCACATGATTGGAGTATCGCTGGTGTAATTAGAGTGGAGAGACCGGCTGGGCGACACCTCGCTCATGTTTATTCATTACACACACCACAGCCGGCGTCTGAGCACACTGAGCGCATGCAAGCTTCCAATAATAGCTGCGGTCCCAGGTGAGGGTCAGAGAGTGTCTGTCTGAGCCTCAGAGACACTAAAACAGATCGATAGAGGATCCTGACACAAACATCTCTCTCTCTCTCTCTGTCTGTATGAAAACACAGCAATCTTGAGGTCGCACCGCCATAAATGATGGATGGTAGGATTTCAGCGGGCAACAACAAATCCTTTCTTTTTTTATTGCAAGAGAGATGGGGTAAACCATATATATGCAATTCTTTGAACATTATAAATATCACAATGATTTTGATCATTTAAAAAACTTTGGATAAAAGCGTCTGCTAAATGACAATGTAAATGTAATGTATATATATTAGTATTTTGGATTATATGTTTGGGACCAATTAGGAGCCCTAGTTGTTAAGGGAACCATTATATGACATTTGAAACCTGAAGCAGAATCACTACATTCCTGATGATTTTCATCCCTAGAGACAGACAGCACAGACTCAGTGTCAGACAGGGCAACATGACAAACAGCCGCAGGTGACTCACCTGTATATGGACACATTCTCTATTAGCTGGTTTGATACGCTCTCGTAGAGAATAATCCCTAGAGGAGAAACCTTCAGCGTCACCTTCTGAAGCTTCTTCCCACCAGCTTTAGCCTGCGAGAGAGAGACAGAAAACACAGCTTTATCAAGCAGCTGTCCTGCTGAACCTATCAAACGATTTTTATTCATCAGAGATTTTCCATTTTCCATCAGATTTTGGAAGTTTTAGAAATGAGATTTTAGTTTTTTCAGCATCTTGGACAATGAGCATATTATTGTTATTGTTTAATAAATATATTTAAAAAGCTTTCTTTAACTAAAATAAGGCTGATATAAAATAAAATATAAAAATCAGATTCAGAAAATCAGAAAAAAGACATTAGTTGTTTCCGAAATAAACAAACTGAAATAAAAAATGCTTAAGTAATAAAATTACTAAAACTAAAATATAAATATAACAAAATAATTATAAAAATGACAAAAGCAAAAACAAAATTACTACAATTTTAATTAAAATGAAAACTGAAAATGTCAAAATAAAAGCCAATTCAAAAAATGTATACATACTATAATAGTATATAAGTAATACTAAAATAACACTGCATATAAGATGTTAAGTTTAAAAAAATGTGCTATATTAACATGATAAAATTAAAGCCTTGGTCATATAAAATATGGAATGCATTAAAAACAATCATATTTTCAATCTTTAATAAACACAACAGAATAGCAGTTTTATGAGCTATTGATTTGGTAACTAAAATGCACTAAACTACATCTGAATGATCTGATAGGATCTGATATGAAATGTGAATTTGTATTTTTGAATAATAAAAATATTTAAAAAAAAAACAATTTTAATGCTTTATTTTCACCTAATGTTTTAAGTGAATTCAGAAAGTCATACCCTGATAAGTCACAATTACTGATAACTGTACACTGAAGAACACAGCATCATTTATCCTTCACAATTTGGCTGCTAGGAGGCTTCGCTGTTTACAATTAAACTGCTAAGCTAAAGGTAGCACTCTCATTTGTTTTCTTATACATCATCTTCAATAAGTCAAACAATCAATCACATTTATAGTTATCAAGTAGGAAGATTCCACATCTGGTTTTGAATGCACTGACTCGCACACAGGCTTGCACAGTCCATTCGGTATGCAACTGATTTTTTCTGCTGAATCGCAACAATGTGGAGTGTTTAATAACCTCAAAACAACATTACGTCATGACAGGATCTAGCCTGTTGAAACACACAGAACCACACCCAGAAATCCCCTGAGACACACACTCACACACACACACACACTCCCATTAGCACCACTTACAAAGCATAAGAGACACATTAGAGCTGTGTATGTTACTTAAAGGCATAAAACTCTACACTTTTGTTGCATTTTCCCCTCACACTGATGGTTCCACGAAGAACCTTTAAAATTCATGGAACCTTTCAATTGCACAAAAGGGTTTTTATAGTGGAAAAGGGTTCTTTAGAGAATTAAAATGTTCTTCACACTAAGAAAAACGGTTCTTTTAAGAACTGTTCACTGCAAGGAAACTCAAATGGCTCTTCTAACCCCCTTTTATATGGCGTTATTTTAATGACAAATGTCGAGAGCGCATTATTGTAGCGCGAAATATTAATGTGCTTTCGCGCTACAATAATGCGCTCTCGACATTTGTCATTAAAATAACGCCATACTTTTAGAACCTTTATTTTTCTGAGTGTATGGTAGTCTGGTTAAGATGACAGAAAGTGAAACTCCAGGATCATCCTACTTGAGGACAATAAAGCATATTTTAGGCCTCAGAAGAAAGCATAATGACTACATTTAAAAAGTGTACATGACCTTTGCCCTGTCATTCATTTCCGTCTTTCATTGGATGGTGATGTGTGTTTGTCTTACTGTGGCAACGATTCTCTTGACAGCAGCGGCTGAGAGCTCTTCTCCTTTGGGTTCCTCCACCAGCGTCATGCCCAGATACTTCAGCTGAAAGACCATCCCCTCCAGCAGCGTCTCCCGCGTGTCTGTCCAGTTCTCTGGCAGCTCTGCACAAAGACACACACGGGATTAACATGTAGGCATATGATGCAAGCATGGCCAGAAACATGGCAATACATGCTGCCCACACAAATACACTCATGCAAATGAGTAAATCTCATGAAAACATGTCCAGGTCTAAAACAAAATGAATGAAAAATCATAAGAAATTTAATTTTGGCAGGTTTATTTGTTCAGATAATGACCATGTGTGTGTGTGTGTGTGTGTGTGTTTCTGTGCTGTATCAGGTCAACTATGTCAAGAACATGCTTTAGAGACAAGTAATTAATGCAAAAAGCATGACAAATTAAATTAAATTTTACATACAGAAAATTAAGCTTTTTTTAAATAAATTTAAATAATAAATTTGGTTTAATATAATATAATATAATATAATATCATATAATATAATAAATTTATTGCAACACTTTTTGATTCATTTATATCTATTTGAGTAAACTATAGTGAAAATGAAATACATTAATAACACTTTGTATATGGGTGTATTGACCAGTATTTATTACTTTATTACTTATTATTTATTATACAATATTTACATTTTTAAAAACATGCACATTTTAAATGTAAACAACCATGTTTACAGGTAAATGAAGATATTTGAACATATTTTGCTGTTTTGCATAAACTACTCAACTCTCAAACATGTTCTTGACAGATTTGGGTGGCAAAAGAGCATGGAAACACTGAACATGCTCATTATCTGAACAAATAAACCTGTTAAATACTAATGCAATTCAGTGAATAAGAGGTGAAAACATCTGCATATGAAACACATCACACAATCCTTCATTAAAACACAATGTCTTCAATCAGGTCTTTCATCCACTGCTCTTTGATCAACACCTGCACAGGACAGGAACTCATTCATGTTCTTACATGTAGCCTTATAATGCCATTATGGCAGTACTATGATTAAGCTGGATCTCATGTCAACACAAAACTGTGTTTATGCCCATAATAACAGTAACTATATATCACTGGGCCTTATGTGCGCATGTGCTAGTGTTGCATGCATTGCTTAAAAAACATGGCAGAACAGAAAATCACTTGGGCCTGCTTTCACAGACAGGGTTTAGATTAAGCCAGGATTTTGCCTTACTTAAATTAGGACATTTAAGTAGTTTTTTTAGGAAATGTCAGTGCAAGTTGCTTTAAGTTTAAAAAAATTGTCACGCGGCCAAGTATGCTTACAGCTTTATGCAACACAGACATCATGCGCATTATTGATCGGATTGGTCAGAAACACTGGAAAGGAGACATTGTAGACACTTCTGACAAAGTGAAAACTATAGTTGCAGGACAAAAAAAGCAGTAGAAACAAACAGACCTACTGCATTTAACAAGAATATTTTGTGTTGTAGTTTAGCAAACAAGTGACAAAACGACAGTAAAAGAATCACATTTCTTAACAAATAATCAAAACTAGAGATCGACCGATATATCGATTTACCGATATTTTCCCGATATTTAAGCATTTTACCAATATTAGTGTTGATGCTGACGCTTTAAATAAAATGTTTTTTTTATGGTTGTAATATGAAGATTAAATTTAACATGAAAGATAATACATAAACATGCAAATAATTGGTATCGGTATCAGTTATAAAATATCAATATCGGTCGATCAATAATCAAAACAATGGCAAATGGCATGTAAATGGGACAGAAGAGAGCATATTGTAACATTTAGCTCAATACTGTTATTCACAGTAATCAGACTACTGGTGTATATGTCACTGAACACACACATAAACCCCCACATACTGCCCTGATCTCAGACACAGCAATGAATAAATGTGTGTTTAACCCCACATCAGCGCTGACCTGTGACAGAGGTCAAGGGCAGGGGTCAAGGACGCACATCTAATAGACAGTTATCTGCTTCTCTCCATGGCGACTCCATTATATTACAACCTTGCTTAATCCATCTCAGCATGACAGAGAGCCATGCAGCCAAAAATAAAAGAAATAAAGGAGAAAATCAAGAAAGAAAGATAGCAGGAAACTGATAAAATAAAATAAAAACCAATGAAAGAACTAAAAAAAAAAAAAAGACAAACATATGAACAGAAAACAAAGAATGAATTAAACAAACCAACAAAAACAAATACCGAAGAATAAAAGAAAGAATCAAGAAAATTAACTAAAAAAAGAAACAAAGAAGAATAAGCAAACAAATAAATGGAGAAAACAAAATATGTTAGTTCAGTCTGCATGAAAACTTTTTCATTTTTTGTGAAAGCAAGCAAGAAACAAAAGAAACAAAAAATAATGAAAGAACTAAAAAAACAAACTAAAACAAAATTAAAACAAAAGAAAAAAATGACAAGTTAAAGTCATGAAACAAAGAGCAAACGAAAAAAGAAATTAACAAAAGAACAAAAACAAACAAAATGAAGAACAAAAGAAAGAAATGAGCAAATTAAAGAAAGTCATGCATGAAAAGATTTCTATGAAAGAAACAAAGATACAAAGAAATTGAAAAAATAAAACAATGAACAATCAAAGAACAATAAAACAATGAAATAAAAAAGAACAATCAAACATTCAGAACAAAAAAGGGAGAAACAAACAAATTAACAAAAAGTCAAGAAACAGAAGAAAAAGAAAAGAAACAGAATGAATGAAACAAACCAGCAAAAACAAACAAAAGGAAGAACAAAAGAAACAAACAAACAAATGAACAGAAAAGAAAGCAACAATGTGGCTGTGATATGTTAATTTAATTCTGTGTGAAAATGCTTCATTGTTGTAAATTAAATCAAGTTCATAATTCAGATTCCATCAGCAATGTAAATGCTTGCATTGTGAATATGTTAGTCAAGGGTTTAAGGGTGCTTTCACACTAGCACTTTTGGTGAGCACCCGAGTTCGATTGACGTCAAGAGTTCGGTTCGTTTGGATGATGTGAATCCGAACTCAGGTGCGCACCCGCGAACCGTACCCGAGTCCGCTTAAAAAGGGTGGTCTGGGGTACGGTTCAAGTGAACTCCGGTACGGTTCGCTGCTGATGTGAACGCAATCGTACCAAATCGCGGAAGTGAACCACTATTAATGACGTATTGTTTGATAAAAATGTGTGTTTGTGTGTGTGTTTCACTCACATTCCTGACGAGCGTGACTGACGCGCTGCAAACAGAGAGCTGTATATCTCATTTCTGTTCGCCTTCAGCGTTCTTTAGAGCATTTGCAGTACATTCCTAAGACAGACGTAAGTGCCGTTATGTACCGAAGCTTTGTAAACGACCGGTTCAAAAACGTAAATATATAAAAGTGCAGAGAGCAATGTTATGCATTTGCCGCCTTCTTCTGCGCCGTTGTTACTAAGCAACGGGGTAAACGGCTGCTGGCTTGATGACGCAAACGAACCGCGGTTCGGACCCAAATAAAATAATATGAACGCAGTCCAGCGGGGGAGGGGGAGGGGGGAGCAATCGAACTCGGGTTCGGACCAGGCAAGCGAACAAAGTGTGAAAGCACCCTAGTGTGCATGAAACGAAAATGGATATTGATTATTGCTGATTTCATGAATCATTCATGGGTCTTTGGCTGACAGGTGGTCTCTGGAACCCCCGTCAGGGATCATATGAGAGTGTCACCCCATCGTTCTGCCTACGAGAGTTCATTTTACTCCCCAAGACCTTCATAATCGCTCTTCCCCACTGTGACAGATCAATGACGCGAAGCATATTCACATCAAAACAGCACGGTTATAACCAGGTCTCATCAGAGCGCTGGTGTTCATGGGCTAAACTGGGGTTTGTAATGGAGTAAATGAAAATGAAAACCCTGATGAAGCTCATTAAGATTGTCTGTGCAAGCATGAGTGCCATCCGTCTCCATCACAGACACAGACGCTTACTTTAATCCTCAATTAACCATTATTTAAAATAATTGAAGGACATCCATTCTGTTGATGGTATTTCATTGCTCACTGAGAACTGAATGGGTTCATTTCAGTCTGTTCTCTGACACTGTGAAGTACTTTGTACACAAAAATGGCATGAGATGGCTGAAATTGCCAGTCACAATCTGAATGGCTGACATGTAATATCTATTATATATTTTTTAAATCACTCCGCCTACAAACAAAGCTGTGTTTACAGGGTGCCAAGCGCTTATGATAATAAAATAATCATTGGATTTGTCATTATTGGTGAGGTTAGTGGCATCAAATCTCTGAAAGATATTTAGAGTTTTGTTTTGAAGTGCTTAGTTTAGCTTATTTAACAATTTCCATAAATTTTCATGAGTATACACTGTAAAAAAATATGTAAATAAGTAAGTTCTTCAAGAAAATAGCATTTCTGTCTTTCTACTTTTCTACTAAATTTCAAGTTTATTTCAATGCGTTATTTGCCATTTGTCTAATTATTTGTGAAATTTACTTGCAATTCCTGAGTGAAAATTGCTTCAAGTTAATTCTTGTAGTTCTGTTTTATTTTTGATTGTTGAGCCACTTTTGTGAAAGACAAAAATTCCAACAACAAACATTTAATCATTTCTGTTCTGTTTTTCATGAATATTTTTTTTCCAGGTATTCTATTATTGTGGTATAATTTATTTAGGATAAATCTGCTTCTATAGACAGTGTGTCAAAACAAAACCAACTGGATGGTCACTTTACACGCCAATCAGACAATCTCGTCTAAATTGATGTTTTAAGCCAAAATAAGGACCTGGCTAGAATAAGCAAGTAGTAAAAAGCCTGACTAAGCCAAAGAAGTCCTAAAAGACAATTAATATTCAGTAATATTATTGATTAAACTGTGCTGACAATATTGTATTACATTTGGACTCTTTTAACAGACTGTGATTATGCGTTTCCAGTTATTAATACCATAAATCCACCAAAGTCTTTTATATTTTCATTTTTAACATTTTTTATGTACAATTACACTTTATTTTGTTTTCTTACCTTAGCATTAAATTACATAAAACTAGTTGACGCTGCTGCATGAGTGTTTCTAAAGCAAAGGCTAAGGGAGTGATGTTCTGTCTTTTGACCAACATAATCAATCTCTTCATATTTTTTTTCCCCTCTTTCCTCCTATATGTGTGTGTGTGTTTCATAACTGATGAATTGCAACATTTACACTGCTATTTTTCTGTCTTGTACAAAGTGCTATAAGTAAAAGTGACTTGGCTTGACTTGACTAAGCGAGACCTACTTCGGTCTATATATATATACACATCATACATATATATATATATATATATATATAAAATAATATACTGTATATATATATTAAAAACTTTTTTTTGACTGACAGAGCTCTAAATAAAACTAACCAGTGCTGTGATATCCAGAGCGGGACAGGACAGCAGTGATATGTCATAATTCAAGGAAATGAACAGCAAAAACCCTCAAACTGTTGATAGGAAAGAGGAGAGGCAGAGGAGAGCGAGGAACGAGAGATGAAGTGGAGAAAGAGAGAAACTTGACAGGTGGAGTAGAGAGGAAACAGAAGTGAGATTAAAGAAATCAAGTCTGCCATGTTTACGGCTCCACTCATAAACAACCTTCAAAGGGAATATCGGCCCAAGATCTGCTGCATGTTTTTGTTTGGATGCATCTGCTAGAGTAACTGACTAATATTTCATAAAGCATCATCTCAAATATTCCCTCATACCCAACACGATCATTAATACACAGTGGTCGGATGAACCGCACATCAGAGGAATGAGAGAGAAATGTTTCACGTTAACACTACAACAGGGGTATCTTGGGTAATATTTACAATGATTTAAAAAGCACTTTTCATTTGGCCTTTTAAGTTTCCTAAAGAGCGTGTTATTAGTCGGGTTTCGCATTCCATCAATAGCAAAAACATTATTAGATGTCAGAAACCATTTTTCAGAATTTTT